GCCTCTGGCTCCCTGCTGAGCCACTTAGTTAAACTTCTCAAGTTGACACAATGTGTCAACCATGACAACTTCCTAGCTGATGTACTTTATATATATTAACTCATTCATTTCTATATGGAACAGAACTATGGGGTAGATAGTGTTAGTCCTTTGCCACCATTATATAGATAACAAAAATAAGACACAGCGAGATCTGGAAAAACTCAGCCTTCCCCTCATGATTTCTGGGCCCAGAATTTGAGCTTTTAGTCTGTACTGCATACAGGGGAGCTTTTATGATGATGGTGTTACATTTGATAAACCAATTGCTACATTAAAAATACCATGTTAAAATTGATTTAATACAGCTAGCCTACCAACCATCATAGTTTGACCTACCATACCTTAAATGTGCTTAGAATACTTAGTCTATTGTTGGACACCATCATCTAATAAAAAGCCTATTTTATAATACACTATCATTCTGAATATGATGAAGACAATAATATGTAATTTATTAATTATTGTAGCCATCCTACTGGATGTTCCAAAAGTTACTCTCTTAGATTTTTTCTTTTTTTTTAGAACTTGGGATTGAACTCAGGCCCCTGCGCTTGCCAGGCAAACACTTATTCCACTGAGCCAACTCCCTGGTCCCTGCTTGTTTTATTTTTGAGACAGGATCTCACTATGCACTTCAGGCTGGCCTTCAGCTCATGTTACCAGCCTATACTAACCTGTACTGAAACTTTGTCATTTTTATTTTTTTATCTTTAAAAAATAGGCTATGCTATTGAATGTTGCATATAATTTATTGCTTACTGCATTGAAAGTAAAAAGCACCATGTTGTATGTGTATGCTTTCCTACCAGCATACCTTCAAAAATTATGAAGTGAAACCTTTGTGGGGATTGTCTGTATGTTTTTCTAACTAAGGAGTCCCACTAAATACAAAACTGAGTCCAAGTTCCAAAGCACTCCTTCCGACTATCCACTGTGTTTGCTTGCTTTCTGCCTCATCTTGATCTACAGCAGCCAGGAGCTTCTCATCCTAGACCTTGTTGCCTTGAGCTTGCTGTGTGTGATAGGACTTTGTATCTTAATTAGGTTTTTTTTCCCTTTTGTTCAGAGATATCCTTCCAAATGTTGTTGTTGCTCCCCTCCTCCTGCTCTTCTTCCTCTTCCTCCTCCTCTTCCTCCTCCTCCTCCTCTTTTCTTCTTCTTCTTCCTCTCTTCTTCTTCTTCTTCTTCTTCTTCTTCTTCTTCTTCTTCTTCTTCTTCTTCTTCTTCTTCTTCTTCTTCTTCTTCTTCTTCTCCTCCT